AACTAGAAGGGTCAACAGCAGTTGGATAATTCTACAGAGGCTGGAATTATGTATTACGAAGTCTATGAATGCAAATTCCTTTTGGAGAGAACTAGCACATACTGAACCAGCAATTCTTATAACATAATATGGAAAAGAGTTTGTTTGAAGGTAGTTGACAATGTTTCGTGGTCCATTTTATTAGTTCGGACTTCCATTGTCTAATATGATATAAATTGATTTGAAATACCTGAAAGAATCTTTTAATTTCTTACAGATTCTTTCAGGTATTTCAAATCAGTTTATATCATATTAGACAATGGAAGTCCGAACTGATGAAATGCATGGAAAAGAGTAGATTGGAAAGTTCATCAAATACGAAGTAATCACATTCAGTGCGAAAAATATTTTTTATATTTCCTGAAAGTCCAGTGGAAAGTCCAGTGTAACATATACAAATGTAGGCTTGCACGCCTGGCATCAATGTTTTGGTTGGTTTACGGATTTTGCCGTAGTCTTTTTTGGGTATAATATCCAAACGTTTCGACTGCAACTATGGCAGTCATCTCGTGGTCGAAGTACTCTTCTTGACGTGTCAATTGAAACTGTTGAAACGTCATGATTATGCCACTGAAGATGACTGCATCCATTGCAGTCGAAACGTTTGGATATCATATACAAAGAAGACCACGGCAAAACCCGGAAATCAACCATAACAGTAGAAAATATATTCACTGGCTTTTTTTCATTTTTAATTTTTTTGAATTATCAGGCACTAGCACTGATTGTTCATCGATTTTCAATTCGAAATATCATTTTCTCAGTTCACAGGACTCTCTCTCGATATACTCATTGATATCTGACGAAGAAAATACATTAACATAATTTTTAAATCGGTAAATATCCCCTTGACTCCCACCTTGAATTCGCCATTATAAAATTATGCTGTTCGTATTTTTTGGGAAAATATCTGTGTTTTTTGCAACAGAACTTTTCATTCATTGGCTATCATTTTCGTACGAATTTGAAACGATTCCTTTAATTCCACATAATATTTAATGATATTAAGTTGTTTCAAAAGTTCTGTCCATTTTTATTGGTCTACTTCAAACTGTAATATCTCGGTGAATACTTATTCAATTCAAACGAAATAAGCGCCATTTGAATCAGTGCATTTTAACCAACGTAATACACGTGGATTGATTCCATCAGCATGAAAATTATGTGCTCGTGAATCGTTGAAGTCGGCGAAGGACGCTTTTGCTTGGTCCTGATTGGCAAAGGTTCTACCGGTGAGAAAGTTATCGAAATGCTCCAAAAGATGGCGTGAGGTCTGGGGGAGGAAGAACTCAACGCCCAATTTGGTAAATTTTCGAACGGTGGTTTGTGAAACGTGCGGACGGGTGTTGTTGGGGAACAGGATCGGACCTCTTCTGTTGTCCAGTGCCGGTTACCGCTGACGCAATTTTTGATACATTTCATCGATTTTCCTATAGGACTCTGCTGTGATAATTTGGCCCGGCTTTTCGCCTTTGGGAAAACCACTGTCCTGAATGTCTCCTGTTGTCCTTAAGGATTCACTTTTCATCACACGTGACGATCAATCCGAAAAAAAAGGATCGTTTTGTTTGCACAAAAGCAAAGAAGAACAGACCTCGAAACGTGACATTTTCTGTCGACCGTTCAAATCGTGGGCACCCACCATCTCCACCAGGGTCCTCAAATCGTCGTCCTGGATTACTGTAGGTCGACTACTTCGGGGCTCACCTTTGAGGCTAAACTCTCTAGAATGAAATTTTGCTAACCAATAGTGCGTTCATTAACACTATCATTGTCAAATAGGTACCTAGATAAATTTTTCAGGCTGTTTCGGCAGCGCCTTGGTTCAATTGGATTCCGTAGAGAAAAACTGATCGAAAATCACATCACATCATATAGTAATAAGCTGGAAAGAGTCAAAAAATTGAAATTTGTGAAAAAATAACAATCGATATATAGAGTACAATATTCTCTAATTATGAGTAAATACCACGACACAATGAAATGAATATATATTAAGATAAGAAGCAATGAAAACACATGACATTGGAATGGACGAAACATCTGAAACAACTTAATATTTCTTATCATATTTTTGTAAGGTTTCTAGAAAATAAATATTTACACAGAAAGAAACATTTTTCGATGTTTACTCGATTGCCGTTGGGTAGGTTAGGTGAGATTGAGTCAAAAATGAGTGGGTCTATTCGACCGTCAACCACAACCCGCAGATATTTATTGTGGCTCACACTTATTGACACTAGACCAAATGAACTCAGCTTTTTAACGAAGCAGATTAGTTTATATATTGAATAATCTTCCAAGTCAGATGGTAAGAGTGCGGCTCTGCTAAACTCTGACAACCTGATTTGGTGCACAGCGGGGCAGGTACATAGTATGTGCTCTGCTATTTCATCATTTTCCAAACAGAGGCGACAGATACTGTCTTCCGACAGACCGAGTCTCTGCATATGATGATTCAGATGACAGTGACCTGTGAGAAGGTCTGTTACACATCGTAGTTCATCCCTACTGCAGTTCAACAATTGTTTGGTAGCAAGCTTCGAAGAATGAATGAATGTCTTGGAGTGAGCCAATCCTGGAAGATTTTGCCAGAAGCCTATAATATCTCTGTCCTAGGTCTGCGACTGAAAACACATGCACCAGAACCTGAAGGTGTCTTTGATCCATCTGTGGACTAACAACTATCTGCTGTTAATATTTCCTTCTTCCGGAACAGTACTCGGAAACAGTACTGTATAAGGCAGTTGGAGGCATAAAGTCAGAGGGCGTTGGGTAACAAACATTGTCTTATTATTTAAACTTTCTGTGAAAGGGGTTCAACTGATCATGAATATAGTGTAACACGTTTAGTTTTCAAACGTTTCCTGACGGTTTTGATTTGCCCTGAGAAAAGTAACCAAGTCTGAAATGTAATTTACTTTTCACGTAATGAAAGATGAATACTGAGAAAACACAACAAACTTTTCCAAAATTTTTGGTTATATAATCCAGGTGTTGATAAAAACTTCGTCATTCAAGTATTTGGATCTTCAGACAGTTTCAATACCGCATGAGGAGTAATCTCTTCTCGGCTGAGAAGACAATTCCCAATTTCATTTAACACGTGTCCTTCAACCAAAGGAAACAAATTTTCCACAGAGTTTTGAAAATATTGCCAATGATAAAGCAGTTACATTTTTAAGATCCTGTATACAGAAAATACGTGAAAAACAATTTCAGTGATCTTTCTGCAAACCCAAATTTCAATATACTCTTTTAATGCGATTGGTATATCGGTAGCTACCTAGTTTTTCATTCTTTAGAACAATACAATGGATAGTTTACGTTCAATGAATAATATTCTAAATATTTTTTAACATAAAGTGTAGGGGCGGAGTTTATTTTTATAAACAAAATCTTCATTCGAAATACGAATGTTTAAACAATTTCAATTCGAAATTTCTCATCTTCATCTTCAGGGTGAACACCGCATCTAATATGGGACATTGTTTCTATTGTGGTAGTTACGTGTGTGTATTTTTAGATATAATATAACCTGTCCAAAAATATATCGGCGTTTGAAACACATCGTGAATAATTAATTATACTTTCGTTTGTTGGTTTTCCAGACACCTCTTCCACTATAGTTCACTAACAATGAATTCTTGATAAAATGATGAAGTAGCTGACAGATTGGTGGTATCAATTGAAAGTATTTGTTTCGAACAGCATATTGTCCCTTATTTATATTCCGTTGAGATTAAAAACTAATTATGAATAAACTAGTCTCACTTGATAAGTATAATTTGACGTTGAATGGATCTATCGAAAACACTCTTCCTAGTCCAGTCAATTTAGACCTGAAAACAGTAATGAAATAACGAAAATTGCAACAGAGCTGAATTTTGATGTGAAGACCTTTATTTTACCATAAAATATAAAAATTTGAAAGTGCCAATCTGTCCCATGAGCGCTTCAAAAGTTATTCGGGGTCAGAGGTCAAAATTTCAGGTTTTTTATTTTTTCTCGAAAGCCATGAGTTTTATCAAAAAAATACTTCAGACAAAAGTTGTAGATCTCAAAATTTTCTACAAAAATAGTTTTCATAATTTTTTCTGTAAGTATCACTGGGTTTCTCTGTAATAATAATTCTACTACCATATTTTAACTTCAATCGTAGTTTTAGAATTCGGTTATCTAAAGCTACATTTTCACAAAAATTCTTTAATTCAACTAACGTAAATTGGCTGTCGTTACTATTTTCCAAAAATTCATAAATTTCCTCCATCGCAGAGTTTACAGCGTCACTTTGTGGACGCCCAACTTTTGAAGCGCTCATGGGACAGATTGGGACTTTGAAATTTTTATTTTTTATGGTGAAATAAATATCTTCACCAAAATTTAGCTCTGTCACAATTTACGTTAATTCAATATTGTATAATGACCGGACTATCCCACACAGAACAAAAATACTCTCTACGCGCGGTTCGCGGTTAACTGAGTAACTAACTTGGTCTTGGTCGTCTCCTGATAATGCTCACTTATTTAGCGAAACGCGTTAGCGATGCTTACTTGGGAGACAATATTTTTGTTCTGGTAAGGAAAAAAAGTTTTCAACAGATTCCGAATACTCTGTCGAACATAACTGGACTTATTTCAAATTCATAAATTCCCCGGATATAATGGGAGCACATCTCTTCGTTGAATAAATAAATAAATGTTCTGTAACATTATATCACAAAAACTGATCTGATGTATTATCTAATGTACTATATAAGTCTCGAATATTTGCGAGATTATTCGAAACTCACATCGAAATATGCACTGTGGATGAATGAATAGTAGGTAATATCAACAATGGAGACTTTATAAACAAATTATGAAATCACTTGATCAACATCAGAATCTTACATTATTGAAATAAGAATAGCAACTTTAATGGGAATGAAAATTTCAGTAATTGTTCCTTTTCGTTGCAGGTTCCATAGCAATAGCAATTTTGGGTATTGCAGGAATATTGATAGGAACAGCCATCAATATTGTTGATCCATATGATATCATTTTCAGATGGGTAAGTATTCCTGTAAATTAAATGATATCCGTACTTATATATCGATATTTGTGCTCACAGATTTCTCTGTAATTATCAATACATCTAGAAAGACAATCTTCTTATAATATGAACGTTCAAATTATCTTTCGATGTCATGTAGCGATCAATTCTTTGAAGAATATAAATTTTAAATGCATGCATTGTGACTTTCCTAATCCCTAATAATCTTTAGAAATTTTATTTTCACCGGAAATCAAATCCTATCATTATCCAGCTTTGGCTTCTCTTGATTTAATTCTATTGCAAATCTCATATTACTAACATTTATGCCTTCTCCTACGACAAAATTTTTAAGAATAGGTGAAACCTAGTAAAAGTAAAATTATATAGATAATATTTTATATTTGAAAAATAGTTGGTGAGTTGAAATGAAAATGTTTGTGTTAAAACCTCAAGAAAACATCGCGAGGTATAGTTTTTGAAATTCTCCTAATAATACTGATATTTTCGTCATTTTAGAAGTTTCAAATACCTTCAAAAGATGGAACAAAACTATTCAAATGAAGTTCTCATGAATTTGTTTATTATTTTTGGACACTGTGATAAAACTATTAGCAAAATATGGAGAAAGTTCAACGAAAGGTATCCGAATCTACCGCAAATAAACCTCAAGAAATGTGTGCGAACAATTTTAATATTTTTGTGTGAATTTGAAAAAACAAGAAAAAACTTGAAAGTGGAAATCATCTCTCGAAAGCACAGATGTTTTTTTTTTAATTTTTATTCAAACATTCCCCACAGATAAAAATCTATTGTATTGAGATCGGGCGACCTCGTTGCCCAATTCCAATGTCCCAAGCGCCTGATTCGCCGATCGTCAAAAAACCTGTCCAGTTCTGCGCTCCTTCTCTTGTACAATGTGTAAGAGCTTTGTCCAGTTGGTACCAACATTTTCGATATTCTTTCGAGTGGTAGATTATCGACGAAGCTTTCTTCAGTATTCTCCAAAATATTCAGTTATCTTCTGGATGTTGCTGATTCCTCGTATATCGCTTACCTCGATTTGTTGTCCATTAACATGAAGAAGACATTGAAACAATTTGTTTTTTCGGCTTGTGGCGTGAAGATTTTCACTGGGCCAATAATGACAATTTTTTCTAATGAAAATTTCTTCTTTCGAAAATTTCGATTCATCAGTCCAAATAATTTTATTATAAAAAAATGGATTCTCTTGATTGCGTATCAATGCATAATCATGCATGTTATGTTTTCACAAGATTCTTTGGACTGATGAATTTTTTACATCCAAATCTTCTTCAGCTCTTTTTATCGATGACACAGGAAGTGCGTGAAAATATTCTAAGGCATTAATTTGGTTGTCTTCAGATTTTGTGGGTCGAGGCAAGCTTCTTGATCCTTTTAAAGTTAATCCAAATGAATTGAAATTGTTGAATTGAGGTTCATCTGCGATAGATTAGGATACTTTTTGATGAACTCTCTACATGTTCTGCTGATAATTTTATCACACTGTTCAAAAATAATGAACAAATTCATAAGAACTCGTTTTGAAGGTATCTGAAACTTCTGCTGTGTCAAAAATTACACAGCAGGAGTATGTCACAACGTTACTGTCAAATAGTAACCATGACCTGCTTACAAAATACCGAATAGGAATACAAATAAATTCTCTTGAGTCCGAAAATTGACTAGTTAGGTATCCGCATGTTATTATACAAAGAAAGAAAGCAAATTTCAAAAACTTCCTAAATTTCTAATAATACACAGGGTATTCTATTTGAAATAATCAACTGTCAGTCAATTTTTCAAGCAAACGAAAAAACTGTATTCCTATACCGCTCTGTATTGAAGTAATGGGGATTACGCTGAAGTTTGGGAAACCTACAAGTATCACCTAACTCCAAACCGAATTCGGGACCAAAGTATTCCTTTCAACTCAAAGATATCAGCATTTTTAGAAGTCATGATTTCCGAAGAAAAAAATGAAATAAATTCATATTTCGCAAAAGTAACACATAGGTATGGGGAAATATCAAGAAAAGTTGTCGGGTAATTGTTGTAGATTTCAAAAATAATATTATTTATAGGGGGTTCCATTTGAAAAATCAAAGTTGCTACTACTACTACTATGTGGTAACACCACATTGTCGAAAGTATTTCAGTTGGGTAGAGAATATTCGAATATGCTCTTCATTGAATTTTCAAAGTGACTCGATGTCTGGTTCACCAGAAACGTCTAATATGCCATCCACCGTGAATCAGACTGTATATTTATTTCCCCTGGCATGAAGTGTTCACTACAGAATCGATTCGAAACCAGAACTCAAAAACAAAGCATTCGTGGTTCAACACTAGATGTTGCTGTTTAGAACAGCCATAGGTCTAATCAGCGATGATATACTAAACCACAAATTAATTACTGTACTCAACTCTCTTCAGAAGAAAAGCCTGAGTGGTAAAAGGCGATGACGCTATCTGTTGGATCCTCATATACCAAAGAGAGACGAGGCTCCACTAGTCGGCATGTTGGGATGCCCAGATCACCACCGAAAGAGATTCGCCTCTGCTTTCTTCTCAGCTTTCACGCAAGGCAACTAGTTCCTACTCAGGCTTGTCTTAAAAAGACATTTGAGTATAGTTTGTCAAATCTAGGAAGAGACTTGAGAATTCTCTCTGTCTTGCTCTCATAGTCGTCTAACAAATGCACATCTAGTGGGCGGGACCATAACGATCCCGCCGTTATGTGGTGTCATGCAGTAAAAACTGCAGAGAAAGACAGAGGACGAATCTCGTCTTGGTTGACTTCGCAACTGACCGTCTTGGGAAACCCCATTTATATTTGATATTAGTGGATTGAGCCTTCCTAAGGGAAGATGTCAACAGTTCAAGGAGTTATATTTTATGTATTTTCACAAATCAGATGAAACTTGTTCATAAATATTTCGAAATTACAAATGATAAGGAAGCACTAAAATTTTTCAGAACAGAAGTTTCCATTCAACTATTATATTCTGTTAAAATCTGTTTTTTTCTATTAACCAGCTGTCGCCCCCTACGAACGACAAGACAAGATTCCAAACTTGTTTGAGTTGAGGATTAACGAGGTCTTACCTTTCAATGTGCAATCCACAGCACTAAAGAATAGGCATTCTTTATAAATACGTCTAGTGTCTTGTCAGGTTTTCAGTAGGTGGAAAACACCTTTGACAATTACAAAACTTCCAACGTATTAAGTCTTTCGGACAATAGCATGTCAGTTAGATGAATTGTCCAACAAGATCATCAGACCCAGCTGGAATAACTCACTATACAACTCTTCTTCACCCCCACATACAAGAACAATAATTGTCTGCTTGTTTTTTTTTGCTTTGAAATCCCATTTTCAGAAATGGATAGTTTTTTGAGAGACATTTTAGACAATATTTAGATACACAAGATGGCATGGAAATATAAAGTGAGGTTATCATCAAGTTATCATAGTGTGATTCAAAAAATAACAATTGAAAAATACCCTACTCGCTTCATGACGTTCCAGTTTTGGGGTGATGATGAAAATTAGAAGGATTTTTAGCATTCTCTTCCACGGAAGTCTACAGTGTTTGAAACCACAAAAGTCTATGGTGCTCATGGTTAAGATTTATAAAAAAAAAAACAAATTTTTCATTTTGAGCTTTGTTTCTACTGAAAGCTACTAGAAGGTTCAACAAAAAATTATATTGATGAGATTGACCGGATATTACTGTTACCGTTAGAATTCAAATCAAACAATAATTTATATATATAGTTTATGACCACTGAAAAAGTACGAAGCGGTACTATTACGAGTTGATCGTGACCAAAAAATGTATTCAATAATTGAGTGAAGTCTATAATTTTATTCAAACATCATTCAATTTTTCGACCAGGTGAGGTTTTGTACCCATTTTTGACAACCCACACATAAAAATCAAATCAATTCCATGAATTTATTTAAAACTCTGATTAAATTACTTTCTGATTTATGGAAATCATAAACGTTATTATATTATAAGTTAAACCTTTCCAATTTAAATCGTCTTGCATTCAGACAAACTAATAAATAAAGTAATAAATCGGAAATGAACTGCCAAGAAATCTTCACAGCTCATTTTGTAAATCAGAGATTATTTTTGATCACCTTATCTTTTGAGAGCCGACTTTAAATTGAATTTTCCGAAAATTCCCACATGGACCCTCAAATATTTGGACGTTTTCGTTATGTAGACACTTGAAGATAACTAAGATACATCAGAATATACTAGAATTCCTCCATTTCGCAGCATCACAACTTTGATTTTTCTCAATCAATCAATCAAAGTATTTTGAATCTATGTATAATACTTGTTCAGGAATTTTACATTTTTTTTTCGTGATTCAACAGGTTTGCAACACTATAACTTTCAACTCGAATGTTTCTCTAATACATGCAATTAAATTTTCTGTTGGAATATCAGATATAAGATTGATCGATTATATGTTGAAAAAAACTCCATTTGATGAAAAAATAGTTGAAAAAGTAAAATGGTTAGAAGAGTAGCACGTCATGAAATTGACATTTCCGGATCTGCTAGCTATGGTTTATGAGTTATGTGGCCTGTTCAAATAAAATTTTAGTTTGATTAGTAGAAAATTAGACTCTCTAAACTGAATTTAATCTAAAGAAAACACTGTCCCCACACGAGAACAAAAACACTGTCACTCGACGGGCGTGTCGTTAACCAAGTTAGCATAATTAGGCGATGATTAGGACTGTCTGATTCATAAAGATTGAGTGTCTACATCTATACGTAAGTCTGTTTATGAAAAACAACCAGTTGCCTATATGCTTGGTTATCAAATGCCTAACACAAATTACACTTCATAATGACATTGTAACACTGAGCAGTTTATTGTTCTTTTGATGAAAATCCATTACGTGAGATTTTCACTGCAAGTGTAACTTGAATACGTTATAAACTGCTTGGTGTCACAATATCATAATAAAGTATTTCATCAGTTCGGACTTCCATTGTCTAATATAATATAAATTGATTTGATAACCCTGAAAAAAATCAAAAAG